CCATAATTCCGTTCGTCTTCCAAGAGCATACGCTGACCAGAGCATCCATGCCCAAACCATGATTCCGTTCGTGTTCCAAGAGCATACGCTGACCAGAGCATCCATGCCCAAACCATGATTCTCCTCCAAGACGCGAACAAAGCGCCTCCAGCTCCGAAACATATCACTGCGAGCTTCGCGCATGAGGTTTTTCACTGAAGCTCTATCTTGACATGCCCGAAAAGCCACGTGTGCCAGGCTTCTGGCCTGCTTCTGTACAAAAAGATGCTTTATTGGAAAAAACGTGAAGACCGCCTCCCAGCCGAAAACGCGATTTTTGCAACTTTCGAAGTAAAATCCGGCTGCATGTATAGGCGTGTGTGCATGCCCGAAGTGCCACGTATACCATGTTGTTTTGGCCTCTGCTGCAATGCGTGCGCTTTCTTTGCGCGCATTTACGTGGCGACGGAGCGTTATTGAGTAGAAAGACCGATGTCCAAACCCGAATGTGGATTCATATTCTCGCAGTTCCAAAAGCAGACAGTAATTGAAACCTGTTGGTATGCAATCTGAGGAAGCATCAGAAGCACGTGTATTTGGGGTGTATTCAGCTTGTCCTATGACAATCTGTGGATCTTGGGCGTTGACTGTATGTATATGTACGTATATATATATATACATGTGTATATATATATATTTATATGCATGACCTGGTGCCCTGGCAGATCTATCTACAAGTCCGGGTGTATAACATAGTTGACATATTCCTCTCAACCATTCCAGCCCGTGGTTTCAGAAATGACCCGCACCAGGAAGTTTTTGAAAGGGGCCTCAGCCAAACCCACTAGGATATTGGGCGCAGTGAACACATGCTGACATACCTTCAAAGCAAGTTCGTGAGCCTTCACGGCGAAATTGCCGAGCTGGATTGGCTTCCTTCATGTCCGTTCAGCGCCATTATAGAAAAGGTGCTTTCTGTTAGCGGCTAGTTCGGTGATTTTCAAAAAAGCGATAATCAGAGTCTTAGTATCCCACACATACTTCGGATGCTTGATCTCGAAGTACGTACTGAGAATATCGAGATCCTCAACCAAGGTCAGCTTCATTCAATTTGCCAACATATGGTAATGGTGTTTGCAAGCATGGGTGTGAGACCGTTCTCCCATCATACAGATTTCTGTCGTGCAAGACTCATAGTGCGTGCAGGTAGCGCGCATCGTGACAAAAGTACTCTTTGTCAGACAGCGGCGATTAAAGACGCTTGCAGCTTCTCAAGCGCAGGCAAAAAACCAAGATGCCTGCGGTTCAAGCGTGCGTGCAGTACCTGTTTGACTTGTCATTTCATGCCTGAGCAGGGCAGCGACGGTGCAGGAGCCTCAGAAAACAGTGCTCTGCAAGCACATGACACTTGCAAATCACGCAGTGCTAGCGCAGATCGATCGAGCACGACTGCTGCTGAGGCCATGGAATGGCTTCAGGATAACCTGGCGCAGAATGTGTGCTCCTTGTATGAAGCAGTGACATGTGTAGGGCAGAACTTGCAGATCTGGCGCAGTGCAAAGGCAGGGCGTCCACGAAGTTTTGCTTTGAACACATTCCGACACATGCAAGGTGTCCTCTGGAGTTCCGCTTGCCGCGGTCCACCTGCAGGAGAGCGCTGAGACCGAGACGTGACCGGGCATCGTAGGTACTGCCAGAACCAGCACAAGCAACTGCAGGAGTTGGATTGGAACAGCTTCGCAGCTCTTCGCCAAGCGAATCTACCAGGACATCGGTGGCCACAGCAGAGTAGAATTGGCTGGCCCAGGACAATGCTTCGAGACCAGCTCTGCCACAACCGCCGGCAAACGCGAAAGGTGTCTCCACCAAATTCATAGCTTTCCTTTCTGATGTGAGAACGCAATGCTCGTGGGAAAGCTTCAGGTCAAGAGCATTGGGATCTCATTATCGGCTCTGACCTGATCTACTCTCAGGCTCGGCCCGCTGCGCACACGATGCCTTGCAGTGCCAGACTGCTTCGTGCCAGTTTGTCGAAAGAGCTGCCTGCCAAGAGCGGGCGATGACAAGCAATACTCTGCCAGGCAGGTGTCGAACTGCTTCCACGAGTTCTCAAAGACTTCGCCCGGCAGCGCCCAACCAAGCTGGATGAGTTGAAAATGCGCAAGGTTACAGAGAGTGCTGAGAATGACAGTGGCTTCTTTCATTTTTTTGCTATTTCGGTTCAAGCTCAGATGTTCATAATGAAGAGCAGATGCTGCTTCAAGAAAGAGTGCCGCTTTGAAGCATGTTCACCTTCGTTTTTACGCAGCAGAATCTCAGTTTTTGCGGGGGATAGCCTGCTGTGCAACGGAGCCTTAATTTGTTTATTGCACGCCCTGCATTGCAAATTCAGTTTGGGTAAGATTTCAGCCTTTCAGCGTGACTGGCTGAATGTGGCTTGTCAAGGACTGGGGTCACTCCGAGATCCTCAGAACAAGGATGGTCACGCCGGAGCCGCCGCGCTGCAGTCAGAACTGTCAAACTTAAACAGTTTGGCCAAACTACCTGGCCGTTGTAGATCCGGCCAGCCCTGCCTGTGGCTTTGCTTCATTGGCATTCAAAAGTTGCATGCTTTGCATGTGGGATGGATCAGCAGGAGTTTGGCTGCAGCCACACACCTTCACGCATTTTTTGAGGACGATGTGCCCTGCTGCTATTCTCTCCAATCTACCCTCCCGATGGCTTGTAAAAACGGGGCGAGGATGAGGATCCTGATGGTCATAGTGCTGGCCGCTCTAACGATGTTAGATTCCTTTGTCTGGAGACGCGTCGTTGCTCCTGACGCTGGCTTGAAGACCCCTTCGTAGCACAAAATTTGTGCAAACCTGGTCAAATGCTGGGAGGACTGCACTTAGTGGGATTTGTTCTATGTGTGCAGCCCGTGCTGCCTGTAAACAATCCCCCGAACCCTGGGAGGTCTGATGATGATGGTGATGATGATGCTGGCAGAAAACGAAGAAGGAGAATGGTAATAGTACTGATCAAGTGAATAACCGCCATCCTCAGCTTCGCAAATAGCAGATACATGCACCCCTGATGCAGAACAATAGCGAGACGCTGGGGGCAGCCTCCATCTCCCAAGCCGAAAACTCCTGATTCCGCTGCGCAATACTGTAGACATCCCACGTTGTGCGTCCACGCGTTGGCCAAACCCCTCCCAGCGCTCAAGCACCCAGCATGCATTATTGGACACCGTGGACACCACCTCTCGCTCATGAATCTGATTCGCTGTAAGAGCATTGCAGGCTTGCCAAACAAAACACCCACTCAGGCAAGTTGGTCCGGCATCTTTGCTGCGCCCAAACTGTTTGATATACTTCTTAGGCTCCAAACCGAAAGCACCTCAGAGGGCGTCGCTTAGGGTCTGGGTGTCAGTCCTGTGTGCTGAGGACCCAGGAGGAATGTCGAGTGGTCTCTGGCCCTTTTGCAATTGGGGTGCAGCTCTTCCTGGCCACTTGCCTTCAAGGATAGTTGTTGCAGGCTGCATTTGTCACTGTCGGGGGGTTCTTGGCAGCCTCTGAAAGCGCTGAAGCAATTTTGAAGCACTTTTCGTTCAGAGAAGATTGCTGCAGGCTGCCATGGTGTTGGCAACGCTCCTCGCCACCAAACGAAGCCTTCCTTTATAACTGTAGCGGTGGTTTCGTGCTGCCGCTGCCGCCGCCGCCGCCGCTGCTGCTTCTTCTGCTTCTGGTTCTGCTGCTTCTGCTTCTGCTGTTGCTTCGGCTGCTGCTGCTGCTGCTGCTGGCGCTGGAGGTGCACCGCAGGTCGCAGCGGTGGTCGTTTTGTATGGTTGAAGGTTTTGCAAGCGCGGCTAGGCCGCCCAGCAGCAGGCATGTGCGTCATTCGCATTGCATCTCTGCGACCAGGCTGCTTTACAAGCGCTACCAGGAGCACCCTCCGAGAACATGGCTGATTTGGCAGCTCAGACAGCCAGATAATGCACTTGGCACATATCATGGCCTTGCTTGCCTGTGACGCATTCTGAGGGACAAGACATTTTCAGAGCTATCTTTCAAAGATGCTCTACCCTCTCTAACTGTCAACAGAAGCTGCGGGTCAAACATTCCTGCCCTTTTTCTACTTTACCTGCAAGTCAGCTGAAAGTTGCCAGTGTGCTGATCACATGGTACTAGCGTGTTCTCGACTGTTGCTCCAGGACCATACCTCTCATGTCCTAAACGCCCAGGCAACCAAAAGCAAAGCTCTTTCTGAAAACCCATGTGCGATTGTAACAATCCTTAATTGCTTTAAGTTTAAAACTTTGTTTTGAATTGGTTTAAATTCAAAACAGTTGTTTTAAATTTAAAACAGCTTAAGATTAAAAACAGCTGTAAATTTGAAACAATTCTGAAAACCCATGTGCGATTGTAACAATCCTTACCGGGATGTAAGGGCATGCTCTGCCGGTCAAGTCTGCCAAGCCTCCAAGTCTCTGATTTACCAGGCGAGTGGGGACCCCAATTTTAAAGCAAAGTTGAACGCCGCGGCACCAGAATTTCGGCTGTCCTGAGGCTCATGGACATCTCAAAGCAGGCTTGCATATCCTCGGCAGCATCTTGACTTGCCTGCTGATTTTCGGATTGTATCTGGCTTCTTGACTCGCAGGGATTTGCTATGAGCCTGCAGCACTTCGTCAACGTGGCACTGGCAGCAGCTCGTCTCCGAACAATTTCAGTTGTGCTAAAACAAGCAGAGGCGTGCGCATTACTTGAAGCTCGGCTTCTTGCAGTAAGCAGCCTTCCACTGCTGTACGCGCTGAACAAAGCCTGGGTGTAGTGCTTTCAGGTCATTTTCGCATCCACGGAGGGCAGGGCTGGAGAGTGCGTGTGGCAACTTGTCACTGGAAGGTTGCAAGCGCGGTGCTGTTGTGTATCTGCATGTCACAGCACGTGTTCTGCTCTAGACTTGGCATGGAGGGACAGGCGCCCATGGCTGGCAAAGCTGCGCTCACGCATGCACCATCTAAATCCCAGCTGGTTGAATCTGTCGCCAACGATGTGAAGCAAATAGCGCAGTAGCGCGCAACAGTCAATGTCATGCAACTCCAGCATTGGCATGTCCTCCCCTTTTTCTCAAAAGCTTCGATTTCGCTCGCAAGCAGAAACTGGCCAGACACATCGACCACCATTTCAGCGAGCCTTCAAACTTCTGCGCGAAATCCCTTCTGTGCTTACAGCCATTTCCTACCTGGACGGCAAAGCAGTGCGTGGGTAAAGGCACGCAAAAGCTCAAGAGTCGTGTAGAACCATGAACCATCAGGCAGCAGATTTCACTCAAGCCTGCTTCAATGCAAACATCCTTGCTAGCAGAAGCTACTCGCATTTTCATCAGACATGATCAAGGCCGTCACCAGGCGAGCTGAACGTTTTGGCAGCAAATCGAATCGAGGGGAGTACAGGAGTGTAGTGTGTCATAGTGTTTCAAGCTCGCTGCTCCTCATGTTCATGCAGACGACGCCGATGAATCCCTTCGTGATGAAATTATTCGCGCCTGTCAGCATGGCATGGGTTTTGAAGCAAGGTGCTGGCTGACAAGCACAGTTTAGTGGAGAGGTAGGCTTCAAGCAAAAGCGTAAAGAATGAGGGGTAGTGGCCTGGAAAGGACAGGAACACTCGATTCAGGTGGTGATGGCGCAAAGCCCAGGTCAATTCGAAAAGCCATCCTGCTTTATTGCTTGCCCTGCCCCAGGCGTTTTTTCGCTTATGTTATGCATGAACAGTAAACATGTAACCTCATCGGTGCTCATGCATCCGCATTGAAAACTTTAGCGCACGCAATTAGGCAAAGCTGCGTGTCATCTTGTTGCGAACCTTGTTTTCTTCAGCTGTCACTGTGGTCCATCAGGTACATTAGCAACTTCATGATCACAGTAGTTGGAGGCGCCTCTGCAGCATAAATGATGGCACCTGTGTGGAGGGTTGCCTACTCTGCTCACGGTGTGATAGTTGGATGCTGGGAAAAAGATTGAGAAATTCGCCCATGCGCTCAGCAGGTTGAAAGCAAAGATGTTGAGACAGTCAAGTGAAAGCATTGGCCACTGCACAAGTAAGGATTGATTGTCTTGCGACTTGGGGGCACTAGAAAACTTTGAGGAGTTTCATGACCATTCAGCGAGTCTACTACATAGCCTCAGCAAGCTCCCCATAAAACTGAAAAGGAAGTGCATTGCATACCAGTGCGATTCCAAGGACTCTTTGGATGCGGTTTCATCGCATTGTCGTTGCCAAATATCAGATCACTTGGCTCCAAAGTGGAGAGCTGCCTGGCTTACAAGGACGAATAATGCTGTAGGTTTGACAAGCAGCCAGCTTCCAAGCATAATTGTGGAACGGACTGCGCCGGGGCTGGGGCCTACCAGCGGGATGGCAGGATGGTGATTTAAGGTATGGAAATCCACCTCGGATTTCAATTTGGCTTGTGCCTTGGCATGCCTTGGCGATCTTTGGAATTTTCTTTGCATTCTCCACCTCCCAGCAGCATGCAAGAGCCCAGGCACAAACCACGTACTGGGGGTTTGTTTGCTGCTTAGAAAAATTCACGGTGGCCACTTGGCTGCAACAGTCAAAAGGGTCATTTGCATAATTAGGAAAGGCTACCACCATTCCTGTCAAATCGAGTGGGTGGCAGGCCGGACTTGTGATCTACCCGTTCCACCACCGCATCGATTCAATCATTGCTCCGCTCGAGACGCCCCTGAAGCCGTACCCGAAGACGGAGCGCATATGCAACCCAGCACGACCAGATTCGAACTCCCCACGCAGCCTTTTTGCAGGTATTTACATCAATGTCTATCCTTGTAGCAGCTTAATGTCATTTCAGAGCACGTGCCCTCAGCAGCACATTGCAGGAGCTTGTCCTTGTAATGGTCGTTGCGCCAAGTATTCTCAACCCCATCTGGTCGTGGATCATTGACAACTTGGTCAAGGAGAGATAGGGTGCCAGTCCAGCATGAAGGGACATGATTACAAGCATGAGATGCCATGCTAGGACCCGCAGTATGGTCATCATGGGGAGAGATCGCAAGAGGAGCCCCTCAAGCACTACGGAACTGTTCAGACGGACTGCTGAGACTGACTGCCTATTTGCGAGCGCAGTCTTTCCTGATCTTTGCTTCCTATGGCCTTCTCGAACTTTCAGCTGGGTTCCTCATGTTCCTTCGTTTTTTATGCTGCTAGATTGCAAGCGATTCTACTCGCGTCCAGGAACCCATGTCTCATGTTTGTACAGTGCTTGGCATGCATGCACATCAATGCTGTGCGAAGTTGCTATGGACTGCAGAATAGCAAAAAGAAAGGCGGCGCGGTGGCAGGCAATTTGGAGCACGTGATAGGAGACGATGGGGGTTTGAATAGACAAGGCTCTTGAGGCACACCATAGCTTGACAATTCATTCTCACTGCCACACTTCATACGATGGAGACGTCAAGAGAGAAATGAGGTCGCCTTCGACAACTATTCTGTATTGCCACACTCTGCATCGCTTTGCCAGGCGCTTAGCATTTCTCAGCACAAGTAGGCAGAGGGTGAAGCTGGCATGACACAAACCGAGCTTGCAACGCTGGAGTCTGCATTGGCCCCCGGACTCACAGCAGGTCAAGAACGACATGTTGAGGTTTTGCGCATGCTGAACAGAGGTCAGCAAAACAGCTGTACCCTCCATCAGCGACATGTGGCTTGATCGGTGTATAAAGAGAGGCTGTTGTGTACAACATTGGTACTGCACAAAATGTAGAGCAGCAGAACTAAACGTGATAACGCATGCTGAACATCGGTCAGGCTGCCGTATTCACCTAGGGCTGTGAGTCACACGTTCAGTCGTTGTCAACAAATGCACTGCCTCAGAGCCCCATGTTCTTAACCCAGCAGGGGTGTCAACGTAAAAACCCAAAATGCTTTGCACAGATCACGACCTGTATAAGCGCAAAACAGAAGTTGCTTCGCAAACCTATTGCAGAGAGATGGATCAACAAAGCAAAGCCTTGCTGGAGGTGTCAGGAATTGATAGGAATTGCCAGAACACTCAAACGTGGATAAGCAGAGCAGGGTACCAATTACGTGCCATTTGGCACCGGTCAGCCAACAATTGCGTAAAGCAACTGCAAGTCAGAATTGGCCACTCCATATGTCCAATACCGAATGTCCAGTAGTGAGCAGATCAGGCTACTGCGTTCAAGCCAGAAGATTCAGCACAAGTACTTTAGGCATCCAATGGACGAAGCTTTGATATGCAGTGATCACGATAAGGGTGAGACGAGTCTTTTTGCAAAGTGCTGTTGCAAAGTTCTGATGCCAGTGCAGCTTGATGATGAAGATATTGGGTGGCGGCAAGCGTGCATGTACCTCTTGATAACGAACACGTTTTGGCAAATTCCTCACGTCCCAAATGGCAGTTTCCCACTCCAGGCGTTTCCCAAACTTCCAAGCAGATTGTTTTCTTTGCGGGGGTTCCCGAAAACTGCTCAGGAGCCTTGCCAAAGGTTTCGAATAGTCGGGAAAAAAAAGAAGAAGAGCACTTGGCAACAAAGAAGTAAACATGGGTCCACATGCCAAGCCTGACATCCCGAATGTATGTGCCATCAACAGTGGAAATGCAAGGCATGATATTTTGGATGGGGAGCTCAGACACTTGCTGGCTACTGCGGCGAATTCGCGCCCAGGGAAAGCTTAGATCTCCCAGAACTCATTATGCATGAGCTTTTTGAGGACGATTTCGATCTGGAGTTCTGCCGTGAGCTTCGCAGCCAAGGCCACACAGGGAAGCAATGCGAATAGCACCAATGTTCAGTTTAGCTTGAAGCTTGGTGCAGACCCACAGCCACGAGAGTTCTTCAACATACTTCTGCGATTTGGCACGTCACTGAATAATGCGGTGCCGGTCTGTAGCGGGACTAGGCCAACACTCCGAAAGCAAGGTTTCAGCCACAAGCTTGCTGCCTCTCGTTTAAGCCTTTCCTCTCAAGTCCCATGCCCGCTTGCTGCCCTCCTCTCTTGCTTATTCAACGCTGCATCGCTTTAAGTTACGTGGAAATTTTCACCGCGCCGAATCCCTTGTCAAAATGCAAAAAGGTTTTCAGCCAGCAAAAAAGGCGGAATTTTGCATAGAGACTTCTGGTGCGAAAAAATCTTATGCATTTACGCAACACACAGGGTAAGTAGTTTCGGTGTCAGGGCCTCGAAACACAGAAACACCTCGTGAGCTGATATCGCAATGTGAGTCAGGCCATCCTGAGAGATCTGAAACGGACTTGGCCAGGCTTGGTCTACAAAGTTGTCGCTGCTGCCGGAGCCGAGAGGCAAAAGCATTTTGAGGGATTACGGGGATTCTATTGGGGTTATGTAGGGATCTTAGGGTATATACTGGGTTTTCCAAAAAGGATAATGGAAAATCAAATGGAAGTTGCTGTAATATAGCAGTTCTTGCCAGGGCCCTGAGAAATTCTAGGACCATTCGGATACTGTAAGGGTCTGTTTGGGGCTCACATGCCAGCTGTAAACATGAGCAGGTGCATTCCTCTAACCTCTCATAGGATGGAAGATGCTGGAGACGAGCTGGACCCCTTGGCAGATGATTGCGCAGGCTTTCTGCAGGACCAAATCGGCTGCTTGACTCCAAAGAGAGTCTTCCACCAAGCGCATGTGATAGCTGATAGCTCCTCGGTGCAAGTAGTTCTGTTTACCCCAAACATTCTACCTTGAGCGCAGCCAGTAAGATTGAAGAAGCAAACTCTATGCCAAGAGATCCTGCCAACCCTGGAGGAGCTTTTTCCCGAGAAGCGCATGGTTGTTTTCCACATCATGCTGGAGCAGCCGGAACCTTTCGCACGCGGAACTGCTGAGCTTCCTTAGACGGCTTATTGCTCCAAGGTTCGCAACCATGAAATGTTTGCAGTGGTCAAGCAGCTTGGCAAGGAACCCTGGCACTAGGCGACTCTTAGATGAAAGCAATACAAAAGAAGCCAGGATGTGCTGGGGTGAGGTAATTCCACTTTTACACAATCAACGGCAGATGTGGTGTCAGGAGCATGCCGGCGCCAGTTGCTAAGCTCGGGGCCCTCAGCTGCCTGTGTGCCTATGCAGGAGCAGCTAACTCACACAAGAAGGTATGGGTGTACAGCAGGTGCGAGATTCTCCTCATTGCCTAAATAGTTACGAGCCTTCAGAAGTCAGGCGATGTTCAGCAGCTCGATGAACCTGCCAAGCTTCAAGGGCTTGGGATCCAGGACAAGCAAATCTCCCGAAGACACGGATCCCAAGTCGCCAACCCATAGGACTTGCAAGGACAGCCGAGGAGCGCGTGCGTGAGAGACAGCCAATTTGCCAAGGTCAGAGGAGGTGACTTCGGGTCTCGGAGAAGCTGGAGCAGGCCACATTACAGTACGTCGCAGCAATGTAGCTTGCATTGTTCAAGTCATGGCCATGGACATACGCGGTTGACAGCTGCCATTGGAGCCCCATTCCACTAAAGAAACCAAACAGGTCCCCCATGCCAGAGCAGCTCATGAAATCTCTGGGCTTCAGTTTCTTGACAGCCTCGGGTTTACAGCAGCGCCTTGAGATCGCAAGGCAGCGATATCGTCAAGGCAAGCCGAGTTTCCTGGTGTTGGCTTACCTTTGTGAGAACAGTTAAACTTGATCTGCCGCGCCATGCACACCATGGTTGTGAATGGCATCCGCTTTTGTCAGGTGGGCCGCATCCAAATCCACTTATCCACTGAGGCACCTGGCATGTGTCCTTCTAAGGGCCTCATGACGCTGCAGTCGAGCAGGAACTAAACTGCACGAGCCAAAATGGTCACATATGGCACCCTGTAGCACGTCGCCATCATTAGAACGTGTAAGTAGTGCTTGCACATAGCTTGCTTTTTCACAGGGTGACGAGGAGAAGGAGATGCCAAGCCATGATCGCACTGTGGTCATTAGGCATCCCTGACCTGTCTTGTTTGCACGGCGTTGAAATTCACGCGAACGCGATATGCATGAAGTTCAAAATCGCTCATTGAACAATTTTGGTGGTGTCCAACGCACACAACTGTCACTGCTTTGACAGGCTTGCTCAGGGTGATCCGCGTAGTTATTCCTCAGGGGGAGGAATGCTGGCACTATCGCTAGCACCATTCGCCGTGGAGAGCTTTCATGTTGTGAAGCACACGTATGTGAGGATTAACATGCAAAGGCGTTTCGCAGCCGTCAGCTGCTCACGCCGTGCGCCTTTAGTTTCTCTTCCCACCCGACCACACCGGGATCCGACGATGCGGACCACAGGGACGACCCCGCTCCGGCAGCTTTGTCCGGCGATGGATCCGCGACGATGCGTCGCGTCGGATGGCACAAGAAGGGCACTGCATTAGCATTTCCCCTCATCTTGCCAATTTTGATTTTGTGCGTCGGTTCGACGCAGCATGTTTTGGGCACCGTAGTTCCATCGGCGGGAAAAAACTAGCCTTGAAGAGTTACTGCAAGGAAGGCGCAAAGCTGTCAAGTGCACGACAGGCATGCTTTATTCGTTTCAGCGGGCTAGGCTGCGCGAAAAGGGAAAAACGCTCCGAGTTGGCGAGCCTGCAGAATGGTTAGCGAGGGGGCCTGCAAGCAACTAAGATTTCTTTGCTTGGTCATAGGAGGCCACAGGGTGCGCCTCAGATTGTTCAACATGGCGGTTGAGCTTTGTAGTGAAGAAAAAACATTGCAGGATACTGAGGGTCGACTCCCTTGCAGTTGCTTGTGACAGGCTTCAATACCTTGGACCATTTGGATCCGGACAGCATCCAACTACAGCGTTGGTTTTGAAAGCCATGCAGGACGGGCTTTGTGCTTGCACCTTGCCGCCGGATACTGCGGATGCTGGGCTTCTAGCCACATTCACGGCAGCACCAGGAGCTTGAGTGGGCCAACATCCGCTCGGTTTGCGCCATGCGGCCTGGTCTTAAGCTGCTAAGCTTTGCCCGACTTGTCTCAGCCTGGTTGTCGCGGATCCCTTTTCTTGCAGTGGCAGGATTACGGTTGCGGTAGCGGTGTTCTTGCTTTGGCTGCAATTGGGCGGCGGACTGAGACCTGTACAGAAAGTGCCAGGTG